AATGGCACAATCTTGGTGATCCGTCATACATTGAACATCCAAGCATCAGACGAGTCTGACATACAACGTTCTAATATCTTCCACACACGCTGCCTAATCAAGGAACAACCATTCTCCATCATCATTGACAATGGTAGTTGTGTCAACGTCATTAGCTCCAACGTTGTTGAATCACTCAAACTTCATTGCCAACGACATCCGAAACCTTATTGCTTACGATGGCTTAATGAGAGTGCCGAGATGAATGTGGTTAAACAATGCCTCATTAATATCAAGATGGGAAAGTATTTTGATGACGTATGGTGTGATGTAATTCCGATGCAAGCATCCCACATTCTCCTAGGACGGCCTTGGCAATACGACAACGACGTCATATATTATGGTCGAAAGAACACTTACACAATTCCAATAAAAGGTAAACCGTTCCGACTTAACCCCCTACCCCCCAAAGAGATTCTCATAGATCAACAACGAATTCTCAAGGAAACAGGGAATTTGAAACAAAAGGCAAAAGAGGTCACAACCGATAAAAGCCAAACAAATAACCCACGGGTGGTGAGTGAACCTCAATGTAAAAATAAAAGAGTGTCTCAAAACATTTATGCGAGTGTCTCAAAACATCACAGATTTGCCTAGTGTGTTTTCTTCTATATACAGGAGTTTCAAGATGTCTTAAGCAACCCACCGGATGGTTTACCACCTACAAGAGGAATCGAACATCAAATCGACTTCATCCCTGGATCAACCATACCAAATCGCCCCGCTTACCAATGCAATCCTGAGGAAACAAAGGAATTGGAATGACAAATAGATTCATTATTACAAAAAGGACACATCCGTGAGAGTCTTAGTCCTTGTGCAGTTCCCGTCATTCTAGTTCCAAAGAAAGATGGCACATCCCGAATGTGTGTAGATTGTCGACCTATCAATCGGATAACAATCAAGTATAGGCATCCTATTCCACGCCTAGATGATATGTTGGATGAACTACATGGTGCAAGTATCTTCACCAAAATTGACTTGAAGAGTGGTTACCATCAAATTCGAATGAAAGAAGGTGACGAATGGAAAACAACATTCAAGACAAAGTTTGGCTTGTATGAATGGCTTGTTATGCCCTTTGGACTCACAAACGCTCCAAGCACCTTCATGAGATTAATGAATCACGTTCTTAAGGAGTTTATAGGTAAATTTGTTGTCGTTTACTTTGATGACATTCTTATATACTCATCTTCTCTTGATTCTCATGTCATTCATGTTCGAATGGTTCTCGAAGTTCTTCGACGAGAACATTTATATGCTAACATGGATAAGTGTGTGTTTTGCAGTGATAAGCTTATGTTTTTAGGCTTTATAGTTAGTGTACAGGGTATTCATGTAGATAAAGAGAAGGTCAAGGCAATTCAATAATGGCCCACGCCTACTTCCATCACCGAGGTAAGATCTTTTCATGGTTTGGCAAGTTTCTACCGTCGCTTTGTCAAAGATTTCTCAACCATTGCTGCACCATTAACCGAGATCATCAAAAAGTCAATTGAATTCAAATGGGGACCACTACAACAAAAAGCTTTTGAACTTCTTAAAGATAAGTTATGTTCTGCCCCTATTCTTCGTCTTCCCAATTTTTCTAACACCTTTGAGCTAGAATTTGATGCTTCGGGCATAGGCATTGGTGCCGTCCTCATGCAAGAAAGATAACCTATCGCTTACTTTAGTGAAAAGTTAAAATATGCACAATTGAACTACTCTACCTACGACAAGGAACTTCTTGCACTCGTCTGAGCACTCGAGGTGTGGCAACATTATCTTCTCCCTAAAGAGTTTGTCATTCACACGGACCATGAATCACTCAAATGGTTAAATAGACAAGGTAAGTTAAACAAACGACATGCTCGATGGGTTGAGTTCATTGAATCTTTTCCTTAGATCATCAAATACAAACAAGGGAAAGATAACATTGTAGCTGATGCATTATCTCGACGATACACACTTATCACTCGAATGCATGCTACTGTTCTGGGTTTTGCACATATCAAAGAACTTTATCCTAACGATCCAGATTTTTCTGAGATTTATAAACAATGTGTAAAAGGTGCTTTTAACAAGTTTTATCTTGTAGATGGCTTTCTTTTTTGCATGAACAGGTTGTGTATACCACAAGGCTCTTTGCGAGAGTTCTTGGTTCACGAGTCACATGCCGGAGGACTTATGGGACACTTCGGTATTCACAAAATACTTGATATGGTCATGGAACACTTCTTTTGGCCGAAAAGATTTGTGCATCATGCATCACGTGCAAACAAGCAAAGTCAAAGGTAAATCCTAATGGTTTGTACACGCCTTTACCAATTTATTCTTATCCTTGGATCGATTTATCGATGGATTTTATACTTGGTTTACCCCGCACTAAGAAAGGACGAGATAGTATTTTTATGGTGTTGGACAGATTCTCAAAGATGGCACACTTCATTCCTTGCCATAAAACGGACGATGCCACACATATTGCTGATTTATTCTTTCGAGAAATAGTCCGCCTTCATGGCATTCCTCGCACCATTGTGTCCGATCGTGACACTAAGTTTATAAGCCACTTTTGTAAGGTATTGTGGGGTAAGATTAGCACAAAACTTCTCTATTCCACTTCTTGTCATCCTCAAATCGATGGACAAACCGAAGTAATAAATCAAATTCTAGGATCTTTGCTAAGAACTATGGTAGGTAAGAATACCCGTAATTGGGAAGAATGTTTATTTTTTGTTGAGTTTGCTTATAATCGATCCATTCACTCCACAACAGGTTATTCTCCATTCGAAATAGTTTATGATTTTAACCCATTAACTACTTTGAATCTTATTCCCTTACCTTTAGATCAGGTTGTCAGTTTAGATGGTGAAAAGAAGGCTGCCCTTGTCAAAGACATTCACGCCAAAGCCAAACTCAAGATGGAGAAAACCTACGAGGCAATCACAAACCGAGTTAACAAGGGCCGACGACATGTCACCTTTGAACCAGGAGATTGGGTATGGGTTCACATGAGAAAAGAAAGGTTCCCGACACAAATGAAATCCAAGCTAGACCCACGAGGCGATGGCCCATTCCAATTCCTTGAACGAATCAATGACAACGCCTACCGCATTGATCTTCCCGGTGAGTATAACGTGAGTGCATCCTTTAATGTTTCTGACTTATCTCCTTTTGATATTTCAGATTCGTGGATGAATCCTTTTAAGGAAGGGGGAGATGATACATGCACCACACGCCCTAAAGCTAAGGATGATGAATTTACTATACCAATTGGCCCTATCACATGAGGTCGGACAAAACTTCTTAAAGACAAGCTTCAAATCGCAGTTCAAGCATTCATCCTTAAGGGTCTAATAGCAGCAGATTTGCAACAACTTTTTGAAGGGGATCCATTTGTTATCCGGTCGATATATCTTCTGGAGATACAACCGTCTATCTCTTATCTTTCCAACGGTTCTTGAATCACATCAATCCGATATCGGAAACTCAAGATATGACCATTTTACTGAAGACGGTGCATGTAGGAAATCCTATACGAGATTAATACGTTATTTTGTAAATATTACGAATTTTCAATATTTATATTGATTATTTGTAATATAATTTAATATATGATGATTAATTATCTTTTAGGGTCAGAATTATTATTTTATTAGGAATTAAGGTTGGGTTAAAACAATATTTTTAGTTATTATTATTTTATTAGGAATTAGAGTTAAAACATGTTTAGTTTATTAATATTTTATTCTTTAGTTATTTAGGACCTTTAGAATTTAGCCCCTATATAAAGGAGGCTTCATTCAACTTTGTAAATCAGATTTCTTTGATCAATAATACAACGAGAGTTCGTTTTTGCAAGTGCTGATTGCCTTGTGCCTTCGAAGCTTCTTCTCCTGGAGTTCTTTCAAGTTCTTGTGAGGGAGATTAATCTTCACACTCCAATTTTCCTTTTTATCGCGACTAGGAGGGTTGGTTAGAGCCATTTATCGAGTTTGTCTTTTCATTACGACTAGGAGGGTTCGATAGAACACTTATCCATCTATTTTTCCACAAATCCATCTGCACCATCAATCATCTTTACCGTCCACCTTCGTAAGGGAGATCTTTTGATTTCTTTATCATCTTATCTTATTTTATTTTCAATTTCTTTATCTTTTGTTTATTTTGTTCTAATCTTATTGCCTTGAAGAAACCCTAAAGAATCCTAGTTACTGCTGCCACCTTTCTCTATTCATCCCTTTTGTTCTTAATCGAGTCTAGAGCTTTCTAGGTTTGATTCTTCAACAAGAGCAATGTTCATTAACCCGCCACCGCTTCCTTATCATAAATGAACCTTACCTTACCTTTGACGAAAGAAAAAGAGATAACTATTTTAGCTTTCACTTTGCCCTTTTTCCCCTTCTTAAATCTCTAATTTAAAATTTGATTTTAAATTCATTTCCCCTTAAATGACTAAAATGTCCTCTTTATTCTTCCATTGTTACTAATTGGTCTTAAACACTATTTCTAAATCATTTCTTATCCTTTATCATTTATTCAATTTAATCCTCAAATTTTAAATCTTTTCAATAAAGTCACTGACCTGATATTTAGGGTATTACAGTATGAATAAACAAGTGACTATTTTATAACTTTTAATAGTTAAAAGACTAAAAAAACAATATTACATAAATTAAAAGATCATTTTATAATTTTTAATAATTGAATAAATCAACGAAGGATCATTTATATATTTTACCCTATATTTTAGGCGAAAAGAGACTGTTTGACTTACGCGTGCTGTTGTACCAATGCCCGATTCAAGAAAAAGACAAGTAGGTACCTGATTTAAAGTAATCGCCAAATCCACTAACACTGTTAAACGACGAAGTTTCGTTTAATAGTGCTTTCCACTGGGTAAGGCATCAACTACGAATATCTGACTTCTCAACTTTCTGTGGACACTGAATATTCAACGGTCCGATCCGATCCGATCCGATCCGATAATTCTCCTCAAAAAGAACCTCGGAGGAAAGGAAAAGGAAGAAAAAGAGCTGATAGAGTTGAGAGAGTATGGGACACGGGAGCTCAAAGGACGGCGGCAGCGGCTCTTCTTCCGATGATGATGCGGACGCTAAATCCTCGCCCTCTCACATCTCTCGTTTGAAGGAGAGATTGCATCGTCACCGCCTTCGTCTCCGCCGTAGACGCGGTTCTTCATATTCTCAGAACAAACTCCTGGCTGCTGAGGATTTCGCTGGCATTGCTCATCTTACTCTTATTAACGTATTCTTGATTCACCGTCTCCTTACTTTACTCGTTATTGCTAGTTTCTTCAATTTAATTCTCTCTTTCTCTTTGATCATAGGCGGAGATGAAGTTTAAGGACAAGTGGCAGGCATGTATTTCGTTTGGGGAGCAAACGTTTAGAACAAATGTTTCTAATGAGTTAAGCATAGTAAAATCATTCTTATTTCCTGCTCAAAAATAGTTATTTTTTTTACTTTAAATTCTTACTTGGTGTTTTGGTCCAATTTGCTGTTAGTCATTAATGTAGTGCTTATGTTTTTTAATTTTGGATTACTTTTTGACGAAACTAGTTTCCTTTCAGTCTGCTGCAGATAGCTTTGATTATAAACGTTCTTACATTTTTAGGGCTTTGACTTTTATTTCAAGTTTTATCCGTGTTAAAATTTATATTTCTTTTTTTCTGATGATGCAGAACAGACAAGCCTATCTGGAATTGTGTGAGTACTCCGAACTATAGGCTTTTGATTTTGAACTACTAGCAAACTTATTTGATTTGAATAGTCTATTGATTTAGTGCCAATTTGTTAAATTTTTGGTGCAATGTGAAATATTATACTCGGTTTGAGTTGCATGAGAGTGAGCATGTGGAAGATTTTATACCGGTTATATGTCGTGGTAGTTGTCAGCAAGGAACTGAATCTCTACTGATGGATACTCAGCATTTTGAAAATGAAAAAAAGAGAGGCAAATCCAGCTATTTGATCTATCAATTATGCAGATTTTAGTGGAATGAACTACAGATATTCACTATTTGATAATCGTTTTTCCTTTTCTTTTTATTACTAATTTGCTAAATTTAATCACTTAAAAGGGTGCTAGATTGGTTCTTCATTTTATTAAAATGAAAATGTTTGGCCTTCAGTTTATATTTTCTGCTCAAAGCTGCTAATCCATTTTATAAATGTTGTAACATGAAATTGATGTTCCCAGTTTTGTACTCGATGCTTGTTTCAGTTAACATCATCTCTTGACAGGAAAGGAAACTTCTTTTGGAGAAAAATGGACCTCGTCTTGCCAGAATCTCAGTATTTGAGGTGTGTGCAAAAAGCTGAAAGAGGATTTCATTTATTTTTACTGAGCTTCATTTTCATTTTTCATATCTTGTGCTTAATTTCTCATTATGCCCATTTGGTGCAGATGAACAGATTGTCAAAAAGTAATCTCATAGGGTACTGTGAGATCAATCTACTTGACTATCTAACGCAGGTGAGTAGTCTTTCCCATTGAACATCATTATTGTATATGCTATTCAGGATAACTTCATTCATAAGACTCTTATTTCAGGATTCAGATTCTGACTTCGGTACATTCAACCTGATTGATCCTGGATTATCAAACATGGTTGTTGGCAGTGTTTGCATTTCCTGCAATGTTGAGGTGTGCAGTATGTAACAAATAATTCTGTAAGTTTATTGGAAATATGATTTCTAACATTTAGTTGGAAAAACTGTCAGGATCCAATTGAAACAGAGAAAAAGTTTGCAAGACGAATCTTATCGATTGTGGTAAGTTGTATTTAATGATCTGTTTTAGTCCCACATTTTATTTGCTTATACATTTTGCCGGGGAAAATTAGGTCTTGATGTAGTCATTGACTTTTTTCTCTTATTTATTGAATTGTGTGTCTGAGAAAGTATATGTTAGGAACAAACATGAATGTGATGTAGTGTACTTAGTTGTGCGTAAGTTATGCTATACATTTGCTTAGGTTTTCATTTTTAGATCTATTTTGTTTGCAAGATCAGTAGCTTAGGGTGAAAATGGGAAAAAGGAAGTGCCACTAATCATAGGACTTTATTCAAGTGTGGCACTTTTAACAGCCTTAACTTTAGTTTTTTCTTGTTTTCTCTTTTTTCCATTTCCTGTAAATCTACTGCTTGTTCTAATCATGGTAAGCATATAAGTCATTGTCTTTGCAAAGGTCAACTGGTAAAACTGTCGCTAGACATTTCTTTTAAAACAATAAAACAAAATTCTGAAGGTTGCATGTCAGTTTGCTCTGAAGTTCTAACATAACTCTGAACTCTAATGAGAATGGTTTGTTTTCCTATCGTGTCTATGATTTAAAAATTTTGGAGATATTGCTTTAGTTCTTATGAAAAGATCTTGGACTTTTCATTCAACTTTCTAGTTCATATATTAAAACCCTGTTGTTATATGTGATTATGTATTCTGGACTATGATGAAGATCGAAAGCTTTCATTCTTTGTGTTTTCTGAATTAATTAATGCTTTTGGCGATAGATTGTCATCTTGTTCTTATGACATGATCTTGTGGACTTTTCATGCAACTTTCTAGTTCATGTATTAAAGCTGTCATTATATGATTATGTATTCAGGACTATGATGAAGATGGAAAGCTTTCATTCTCGGAGTTCTCTGAGTTAATTAATGCTTTTGGCAATAAAGTGGCAGCTAGCAAGGTTTGAGCTGATGTGGTTTATTTGCATCTGATTGTTCTCTATGAAACTTTCCCTTCCTAAATCCATATGATACAATTTACAATTTGCTCTTCAATAAATTTGTCTGCTCTCATTGTTTCAAATTTCTTATCTGCTCCTACTTCCATTTTCATTTTTCATGTGGTTTAAAGGGGGGAATAGTAGTGAATCGATAGAGTTAGGGCCTGATCAAAAGAACAAGAAAGAAGATGGAACTTTAGAAAATGCATGGTTATACAAACCTCTAGTTTTCCCCCATTAATCCACATAAAATAATAAGAATAATTATTTTGGATGTAAAGACTACAACTTTATTATATAGGTTTTCCTTAAAAGTAAAATTTCTAAGCTTTCTTGCAACTATAAGTAAAATAATAAAATAATCTATCAAATACTTAATATATAATTACTAACCCTGAATATTTAAATCCTAAAGATAACTAATAAGTAATAACACTTGCTGTCCATGATATATCTAATACTTGATAAGTAAAACTGAAATAATAAAATAATTAAAAGTTCCTTCTTCATTTTCCCTGGATTGGAAAATCAACTTCAACAAAAAAATCTCACCACTTCAGAATAAATAACCGTTTTCGCTTTTCATTTGTCAAACAAAGCAGTTTGTCATGAAGCTCTCAAATCTGCAACTCTCTTCTTGAAAAGTACTGCAGTATTGCTGCTACCAAACTGCATGATGTCTTAGTTAAGCTGAATGTAGAAACTAGGAAATAAAGGAAGGAATTTCTAAAACAAAGAAGTTTGGTCTCTAATTTTTCTTGCTCTTGAATACACAGGGTAAGGCCTATTAAAATAGGCAAATTACAAAAGAAATACAATCGTACTCTAAGATACTAACTTAGAGCCACATTAGGAGTTAACTTATCTAGTCAACATTCTATCTAATCTTATACTTAGATAAATATAGAGTACAAGTTAATAATAAATAAAACTTAATTACTGACTCATTAGGACACTAATTCCAAACTCATTAGGATTTTATACGGCTATAATCTACACGCCCCTCAAGTTGGAGAGTATATATTGTAAAATCCCAACTTGGATATCAGTTCATCCAAGTTAACTCTCGAAAGAGCTTTGGCGAGGACATAAAAAGTTGCATTTGAGTAGGAACATAGTTTAGTTCAACATAACCATTATTGACCTCTGAAATGAAGCGTTTGTCAATCTCCATATGTTTGGTTATGTTATGATGAACATGGTTCTTGGCAATGCTCATGGTGGATTGACTATCATTTTGTGCATTGAAGCCCAACTTTAACTTTTTCAATAATCTTTTTACCCACATTCCTTCGCAAATTCCTAGTGCAAGTGCTCGAAATTAAGCTTCGGCCCTACTTGAAATTACTGATTGTTTCTTGCTACCCATGTAACCAAATTTCCCCTAACAAAAAAAGCAATAACCACTTGTAGATCTTCTATCAGTCAATTCTCCAACCTAGCTTGCATCAGTGAAAATTTCTACCTTATGGTTCTCACTCTTTCTGAAAATTAAACCATGACTAGGAGTCACTTTGACGTATCTCAAGATTCTATTAACTACTTCAAGGTTCTTTTCTCTAGGGTCTATGTCCACTAAAAAGGTAATATATGGTTTGGTGAGGGATAAATAGTTTAATTTTCCAACCATCCTTGGTATTCATCTTTGTTCACTGGTATCCCCATTTCATCTTTTCTTAATTTCAAGTTAGGATCCGTAGGTGTCTCGATTGGTTTGCATCTAAGCATGCCCATTTCAGTAAGTAAATCCAATACGTATTTTCTTTGAGAGACCACACTTGTAGTTTTTTATCTTACAATCTCCATTCCGAGAAGATATTTAATTGAGCCGATGTCTTTAGTTTTAAACTCATAAACAAGTAGATCATTCAATTTGTTGATTTCTTTAGTGTCATCACCTGTTATGATTATATCATCCACCCACATAGCCTATGAGTATAGTCTTCTTCTTTTCTGGAGAAATCTTCAAAAACAAGGTGTAATCAGATTGGCATTGATTGTGTCCATATTTGACCATTTCCTCGGTAAATCTATCAAACAATTATCTAGGTGATTGTTTCAAGCCATACGGTGACTTCTTCAATTTGCATACCCTGTGGTCTTTAGAGAAATTTTCGAAGCCTGAGGAATGTCCATGTAGACATCTGCAAGATTTCCATTAGGAAAGCACTTTTGATGTCTAATTGAAGAGGGGCCAATTTCATTTACTACCAATGACAACAATATTCTAACAGTGTTTAACTTAGTAACTTGTGCAAAAGTCTTTTAGTAATCAATTCCATAAGATTGAGGGATTGTTTGTTTACTTTAGAATGATTAAGCGCTGAATGATTCAAATGCTAGATGATTCAGAGTCTTTGTGTGAATTAGCTCTGAATGTGACATGTTGTTTGGTAATGGCTCTGAATCATTCAGAATGTACTTCTGTGCTCTGAATCATTCAACATTGTTTTTCTGAATCAGTCAGCACTGAATCATTCAGAGGTGAGAAACAAGCAGTCTGAATGCTGAACGGTTCAACATTCAGCGCTGAATGGTTCCATTCAGAGCCAAACAAACAACCCCCGAGTAAATCCTTTTTCCACCAACCTTGAATCTTTCAACACTTCCATGAAATTATATTTGATTGTAATATCCATTTGTAGCTGAATGTTCACTTTCTTGGAGGTAGTTCAGTAAAGACCCATGTTTCATGGTTTTCTAGAGCCTTGATTTTCTTTAATAGCTCTCTTCCATTCTGAGCTTTTCATTTCTTCTAGTATTGTCTTTGGAATATGAATTTTGTTGAGTGACATAGTAAATGCTTTAAACGATAACATTAGTTCCTTATAGTCAATATACCTTTAAATAAGATGACTTGTGCACTTTCTAACTCCTTTTCTCTGAGCAATAGGCAGTTAAAAATTGTCAATAAAAGGATCAGTAGTTTCACAATGTGAAGGTTCCGTAGCTGTGTCAATTTTTAAGGTAGAAGGAGCCAATTCCAGTTTCTGACATGTTTTGAGTTGTAACATCTTCTAGATTCTCATTAGGATGCTCCCTCCTTGTATAGACATGAAGTTCTTGATTTCAAGTTGAATTTTGGATGGTGTTTGAGTTTTTAGTGGAGTTCTGACTTGAGAAGGCAAGGTTTTTATTTTTGGTGAAGATATTGAATCTGTCGGGTAATCTTAAATTCTTTGGGGTAGAAAGGAATGCATGTGGACTGAATATATTGGAGGCTGTCCTAAAGATGAAATTCATTTGAATTCTCTCCCTGAATTTTATACTTAGAGAAATAAGGTTTATGTTTAGAGAAGGTAACATCCATTGAAATATACATCTTTTAGGTAAGTGGAGAGTAACATTTGTAGCCATTCTTAGTTGAAGAATAGCCAGCCCTAGAAAAATTTGTATAATGAATTTAGGATTAAGCTTGGTTCTAAATTGATGGCAAATATAAACAAAGGTTGAACAGTCAAAGACCTTTAATGGGAGATAAAAAAAAGACTTGAAATGTGGAAACTGTGGAGAGAGTTTTCATCCCGAAAGAAACTAAAAACCCAAAATATAGATTTTCCACTTTCGCTTTTGTTCAGTTTGAGAGGGAATCTGGTTTGAGGAGAGCAATTGATATGTTGAATGATTCACTGATAGATGGGAGAAGGATTTCAGTTGGTGTTGCAAAATACAATGAAGTTCGTCCAAGGAATGTGGCCAAGAATAGTCCAGTTCAGTTGGGTCCAGTTTCGATTACAGCAGGTCCTTCAAAGTTGAAAGAGGCTGATTTTTCCAGTAGGAGTGTTAGGGATGACAGATCGTACAAAGAGGCTTTACTGACTGAGGATATGAGGAACAATACTTTGGGGCATAGGGAGACACATTCTGTTGGGAATCAAAGGGAGAAAGCACTGAAGAATGTTATGGAAATGCATATTCCCTCTGAGAATCGGAACTGGGTCAAAAGATCCTTAACGGGGATTTTTAAGCTCTCTTTAGATATTAAGTCAGTTCAGGAGTTCTTCATTACTAATGGTTACGAAGTTCAGATTGTTGGTTGGGGTTATGCCCGTAATTCCTGTGTTATCATTTTCAAATCTCTCGAAGAAATGATGGAGGCATGGACAAAGAAGAGAGATGTAATAAACTTATGTTTTGATAGATTAGCACCTTTACTGAATGAAGAAGGTGTTCCAATGGCTTATTGTCAGCTTGAGTTAAGTGGGGTTCCTCTGCTATGTTGGGATGAATCCTTCTTGGAACGAGCTGCTGGAAGATGGGGAAGTATGGTAGAAATCCACGAGTCCACGAAGAACAGGGAGGATCTCTCGTCAGTGAGGATTCTTTTGCGAGTTGCAAGTCCTTTCGATGTTCCAGAATTCACTAATTTTGGATCCTATGGCAGATCGTATCGGATTAAGATCAAAGTTGGAGAGGGCTGGGAAGTTGCAAATCCTTTTTTCAAATTTTTTCCGGTGATCGGTGCAGATGGGAAACAGTATGGCGAGTTGGGGTCTGAGGAAGGTAGTCAGGGAGAAGTCAGAATATGAGGAAAGTTCAGTCAAATCACAGAGATGTTCAGACAGAAGGTTGACTTGTGGAATGATGATGGTGTCTCTTTCGGCACAGCACAGTTGATGGAGAAATGCACTTTCCAAGACTTTCTAAACATGGAAAGGCATTAAAAGAGGGTTGTCAGGTGTTCAGAATGGTGGGAATACCATAGTAGGTGAGTTTGCAGGTTTGGGCATCAGAAATTCAAATATTTCGGCTAATGGGCCGGAGGCCCTATCTGTTGACAATGAGCTGACTGGATCGGAGGCTTCAAAGTTTTTTCCTTCTGGGCCAGGATATACATTAACAAGTTTGGTAAACTGGTTAAAACAGGGGAATTATAGAGGCTAGCAGTGTTAAAAACAAGAATAAAGGGACCAGTTGCATTTCAGCTTCGTACGCCAGTGTAGATATTGAGGTTCCTGATCCTAATTTTTCGCTGATAGTTCCTAACTCGAATTGTTTGAAGAGCCAGTTAAGAAATAAAGCGATGGTGCGTA